GCTTTGCCGGTCTGTCAGAACTATTCAGTCCTGCCACTGGAGTGCAAAAGCAGCCACAGACAGTATGTAAAAAGGAATTAGTGCTCTGGCCGGTTTGGGTCAGTGGTTGGAGTGTTGGCCTGCGGTCTGGAGAGACCTGGGTTCGGTTTCCGCTAAGGGCACGTACCTTGGTTGCAGTTTGTCCCCAGCCCTGGTTGGGTCGTGTGGGTGGTGACCACTCGATGTGTCCCTTCACGTCGATGTTTCTCTCTCTCTCTCTCTCCCTCCCACTCTATCTGAACAAAATGTCGAAAAATGTCCTCGGGTGAGGATGAAAAAAAAAAGGAATTAGTGAGTTTAATAATATTAAACCGAGAGTTTAATAATATACTTTGCCAGTACCCACAAACACAGTGTATTTGCTGTCGTTTCCTATCTTAAACTTTTCCTTCTTAGAAAAACCAATATGTAGGATTCAATAGCTAAGGGTAGGGGGCTTATGTTACATTTCAGTGGCATTTATTCCCTTTTACCCCTCTGTTTATTTTACAGTTCAGCTGCTGGAAAGAAGCAACACACAATATGGGGAAAAGACAATTATTAAAAAGAAGTGAGCCCAGCTGGTATGGCTCAGTGGACTGAGCATCATCCTATAGACTGAGAGATCCCACCCACTTTGATTTCCAGTCAGGGCACATGCCCAGGTTACAGACTCAATCCCCAGTGGGGGTGTGCAGGAGGCAGCCAATCAATGTTTCTCTCTCACATCGATGTTTCTCTCTCTCCCCCAAAGAAACAAACAAACATATTAAAAAAAAAAAAAAAAGAAGTGACATTTGGGGAGGGAGTGGAAGAGGAAATTACAGAAGGGAGATGCTCTCCGGGAGAACAAGATTGTTCCAGAATCAGTGGGCTGTAGGGAAGAATGCATGACTTGATAAGTAAAACAAACTGTGTCAAGGAGACTTGCTCAGGAAGAGTTTCTGAAGCAAGCTGAGCAGTAGGAGGATATGAAAAACATAGACATAGGGGAGTGATTGGCAGAGCATCTTCTGAAGGCTGAGATCTGAATTTTTGTAATCTGTAGTGTACTTTCATGGCAAACAGACACTTTTCCATTTTGTTAGGAATGGGGAGAGGAAATAACACTGACTAAATGCCTACATATGTCAGGTACAGTTACAAGGTGTTTCCCATCATTATTTCCATTTTAATTAAAGCCACTCATGGAATTATCTATGCTGGCCAGTTTTCAGATGAGGAACCTGAGAGGTGAAGAGACAAGACTGAAACCTAGTTCTGTCTAACCATGAATACCCTAATGTTCTATAGTCTCCTGCCCAGAACTTAAAATGGAAATATTGCCTTCTCGAAATTCCTTTTTCTTCATACCACTAGAAACCCTCAGTTCTCAGGGTAGAGGAAGAACATAAATAGGTCGGGTAACTAAGTTTTTCTCTAACCCCCCCAACAAATGTCTTCATTGAAGAGACATCAAGTCCTTTTTCTGTTCTGAAGAAAATAGTACCACTAAAAGACATTGGCAGCCAGGTTTCTTATTTTATTTATTTCTTTTTAGGAAGGATAGTAGGAAGGAAGGATGGAAGGATGGAGAGAGAGAGGAGAAGGAGGAAGAAAGGAAGGAAGAAGGGAGAGAAAAGAAGGAAAGAGGGAGGGAGGAACAAGGAAGGGTTTTTGTGTATATGTTCAGGTTCGGCAGCCTGGTTTCTGAAGTTAAACTCTGTGCTGCCAAATCAACCTAATGACAAATGTATAAATCCTTGGCAGAAATGTGAAGTTTGGGGACCATTTATTCAGGAATTACTCTGTCAAGAAGATATATTGTCTCATTTAATCCTCCAACAGTCCTGTGAGATTTTACCACCATTTTATGGATAAAGAAACTGAGGCTTACAGTTAAATATCTTGCTTAAAACTATACAGTTGGTAAGAGACAGGACCGAGATTAAAACCAAAAACCTTGACTGGGAAGTTTATCCTCTTAGCCTCACCCCGCAGGCTCCTTTAGAAAAGGAGTTAAGATTTCTGAGCACTTTCAATCTGCTGGGTATCAAATGCCAGGATCTTTTTGTTGAAGATGGTAGATATTATGAAACATTCAAGAATATGCTGAACAATCATTAGTGTGGTATATGTGAATAAGCAAAAGGGGGTTAAACTGCTCAAGTTTCTCCCAATGTCTTCCTCAGAATAACTTACATGAGTACCCTGAACCAACCAACCAACCAACCAAGAACCATGGTGATGCTTCCAAAATCAAACAGGAAAATCCTGAATACCCCAGTCCCCTCCTAGAGATTGCCACATGCACATTACACATTTAAGGCTCTAACTGGTACTTAAAGTATTCCACTTAACTTTAACCCAGAGTTTCCCAAGGATCAATGTAATATCTACTCCCGTTAAAGCATATTAATCTTTTGAGACCTATAAAACACATCTTGGGGATCACCTGAACTAACCTGAGGTTTGTCCACCAGCTCTGTGGTTGTCTCTGGGAATATACGAACCTGGAGGACTTGTCACATACACCCCTGAAGGCAAAAAGGGCCAGATGACCAATGTGCACATCTAGTTGGATCCAGGTTTGAGCCTTCTGCAGTGGGTGGGGATTGGGCCTTTGTATGTGGCATGTCACCATTTGCCAGCCCATGACAAGTTGAGTCTCATGAAGTTGCCACGTGAGCAAACACACTTTAAACAAGTTGGTTCATGATCCCAAATTTAAATCACATTGTAAAAGGTACCATTTGTCAACAGAATTTATTTTGAAATTACCCATCTTTCTCTGGGAAAAGGTGAACCTTATTGTCTAGTTTTTTTCCTTACCGTTGATATTTGATACTTTCATTTACATGATGCCTATAAATAGAAGCACCAATCTTTGTGGTAAGCAAATTCATTAAATTCCTACGACTAATTCCTATTGGGATGACTTTGTTTAGAGTGGGTCTGTGAATAGTCCTATGACAGGGTAAGTTTTTGAATATGCAGAGAAAAACGCCCTAGGAAAAGAGAAACTAAAAATCTCATCTTTCCCTGTGTTTCAATGATTACTTTAAATAATTTAAAAATGAAATAATAGCCTTTCAGACTTGGAAAGTATTTGGAAATCCTCTAGTTGAAACCTCTCCTTCACAGGTGAGGTTGGCAAAGCTCGAAAAGGTTAGGTCCCAGGCCCACACAGCTTGTCTGGAGAAGAGCTGGGCTGAAACTCAGCTGACTGTGCTCTTTTCTTAAATTCGTCTCTCCTCTTTTAAGACATTTCAGTGTATTTTAAGGAGTTAACTTTCTTGATCATTCACTATAAAGAAAGAGCTTGGCTCATTTGCTTTTTTGTGTGTGTTGGAGAAGGCAAATCATATGTACACTATCGGCCCCTTGGTACTCTTGCTCTCCTGATAGTCCTTCACCTTGACCTTTTTTTCCTACCCTTGGACCCCGGACCCCAACTTTTCCTCCCCTCTCCCCTCCCCTTCAAACACTTATCTTTGGACATATGTGTGTGCACTTCCCAACCTGGCTTGGATCTGGAGCAAGGTGACTCTTGGTTTAACGGAGTTTTTCCATAGTGCTTGAATTTGCCCAAGGGCTTGGAAGGTTAGACAACAGAAAGTAAACTGCCATCCTCTGCCCTTTCAGCAGGTCTGTTTTATTAAAATATGAAAGAATGAAGAAGTAACAGGAAGAAAAAAAAAAGGCAGAAACTCCACTTGAAGTACTTGCCAATCCTCTGGAAAAGTTCAAGACTGTTGTTCAATGTCTCAAGTCTTCCCTTGTAATTGGCTTGTAGTCCTTAGGCCATCTCCAGACCTCTGATCAAGGAAGCCTCAGAGGAAAAAAAAGTTGGGTATTTGCATTGAAGTCAGTGTCCTGGCTCATAGGACTTGGCGGAGAAGGGTGCTTTTTCTCTTTGGTGCTGGGTGACCAGAGTGGGAGCCTTTTCCTCCGGAGGCCCTCCTTGCTGCAGGGTCTACTGTGCACAAGAGCTCACCCTTTCCTGGCTCTCATTCCACAGCAGACATTCTGTGAGGGGTAGGCCTGTTTTTTCCATACTAACACTTACTCTCAGACCCCCTAAGTACCCAGGAGAGCCGTGCTTTTAATCAGAGGTTGAAATAGAACCTCCCCCGGGGTGCCCGGTGACTGTCCCTTTGGGGCAGTGCCCCCCCCCCCCAGGGCAACATGCTGGTGTGGGTGGGGGCTCAGCTTTAATCCCAGGGCACCTTTTGTCCCTGGAGGCGCCCTGCCAACCGGGTATATGGAGGCAAAGTGCTGCCCACTTTTCCAGGGCGGCAAGTGAATTTCGGGACAGGGACGATGGCTTTGGAGAGTGGCGGGCGTGGGAACCAGCGCACACGGGTGGGCACAGCAAACTCACTAACTAGGCATCTCCGGGGAAGTTCGGGCGGGGTCCGCCGGCTCACGAGCTTTCTTCCTCTAAAATCCATCCTGGGCAGGGCCACCCACTTCTCATCCAAACTCGTGGAGACAAGGGACTAGGTGGGCGCGGGTTCGGCGAGGCGCATCCGGGAAGCGCCGGCCCAGGGGGGAGGCCCCTCTAGCGCTGATCCGCGGTCCAGAGTCCTGGCCCAACCACCTCGGCCGGGGCTGGGGCGGGGTCGGTTATCCTAAGGCAGCCGATGTCTGGGGCTCTGGCCCGGACCGCTCTCTGGGCGGCCCGACCTCCCCTCGCGTCGCAGCTCACCCCGCCCGCTGGCGCCGCCGTCCTCCCGCCCTCAGCCGCCAGGCAAGGCGGCGGCCTTCTCAGCCGGCGCGGGGTCCCCTGGTTAACCCCTGCCCGCCAGCCTGGCCGCTGATTGGAGGAGGCGGGGCGCCGGGGGCAGCGGGGACACCCCTCCCACCTTCCTCGTCCCCTCCCCCTCTTCCCCCACTGTCAGCTCTTCCCCCAGCCCCCCCAGGACCCCCCCTGCTTCCCAGCCGTGCAAATCTCGCGAGGAAACACGCGGTTTCACTAGTGTGTTTACACCGATCACTACTAATCCGGACCGAACCGATCCGGATTAAGGGGCCGGAGGCGGGTCCTGGGCACCAGCGGTTCCGACCCCCCCCCCCCCAGTCCTCCGCGCCGCACCCGAGTGGCCCCCAGCCGAGCGGGCCCCCACCTCCCGGCCCGGCCTGGGCCCTTCTGAGCCTCCCTTGGCCTTTGTCCGGCGCCAGGAGGCCGGTCCCGCAACCCCCGCTGCCGCCCGGGCCCGGGCCCGCGTCGGGCGCCTGGCTCTGTACGCGAGCCCGGGGATCTGCGGCCTCCGCGGCCCCCCTCCCCCGCCCGCCCTCTCGTGGAGCCCGGCGCCGGCGGCGGCTGCCCGGGCGGGGGGTTGCGGCGCTCAGGAGAGGCCCCGGCTCCGCCCCGGGCCTGCCCAGGGGGAGAGCAGAGCCATCCGCAGCCGGGTCGGGTCGGGGCCCCTCCCTGGAGGAGCGTGGAGCGGCGGCGGCGGCAGCGGCAGGTGAGAGGCTGAGCCCGGGGCAGGGGAGGGCGCCGGGCCTGGGGCACTAACCGTCCCGGGAAACCCTTCGGCTGAGGAGGCTGCGGCCCGGGCCCACACAGGGGCCGGCGCCGGGCCGCAGCTCCTCGGCGCTGAGGCGGGAGGGGCTCCCGGAGGGCTGCGGGTCGCCGAGGGGCCGGGCGGAAGATGGGGGAGGCCCCGGCGGCCCCGGCCTGGCAGTGGGGTCGGCGGCCGGCTGGCAGAGGGGGGCGCCCCGGCAGCTGGAGGCCCCAGCAGCCTCCCGGGCGCCCCCGAGAGCTGGCCCGCCCTCCCTCCGTGACAGGTGGGCCTGGAGTTGGGGAAAGTTTGGAGCCGGCTGGAGGCGAGGGGCACCGGGACCAGGCCCCATCAAGTCCTGCTTCCCGGCTCTGGGCTACAGGGAGGATCCCAGCCCAGGGCCCCGCTGGAATGGGACAGAGTGGATATTTCCTTAACATGAGTTGACATTAAATGGAATAATCGCCGGGGTGTCGTTTTCCTGGCCAGGCCTGGGTATGGAGGTGTAGGAAATGTTCTGAGAGACCCTGGGGTTTGACGGAGGCTGCAACCTCTGCCATTCCGGCCTCGATTAGGGCAGGGCGACACGCGAGCAAGGCCACTTGGGGGAAACTCTTATTCTTGCACTTTCTTCTTCTTCTTCCTTTCCATTTTTAAAGATGCCTTTCTGTCCCTCCGAGAATTTCCTAATTACCCCTGTAACCTGCACTTGTATGTATGTGTGGGTGAAACTTTCATTTGTCACCCCTTCATTCCCCTTTGCCTCAGGCTCTCAATCCAGGAAGGGAAATGAAACTGAGGACTTGTAGGGGTTGTTACTGGAAATCGTGGAGTCGCTAGATTGCAGAAGAGAATGTTTAATTCATGTTTTCAGTGAACTTTTAAATCATGACAGTTGTTCCAATAACTGATAATATGTTCAAAGGGATTCTGTGTAATGGCACATGCTCCTTTTCCACAGAGAGGTTTCCAGTGGGGCTGCAAGAGTTGCTCTCTTGCAGCGGATGGACATATTTGTTGAAAGTAGTCTGTGCATTAATTGGTCATGGAAGGAGTTTAAAAATGGTGTCCTCCTGCCCCTCCCTGCTTGGAAGGAGTGCTAAAAGCAGATGTCTAGAGAAACCTTCTGCTCCAGGGAGTGGTCAGAAAAAGATTTGAAAAGGGATGGTTATGGAGCTATACTAATTTCCTGAGTGAATGCAGGTTGATGGTTTTACCATGGTACTTTATTAAATTGAAAACAATTCCTTTTTTTATGAGCTACTATGGGCTCTTCAGAGAAAGGAGCAATATAATAGCGTTATTTGAACTTATTTGTAGCTTCTGATTCATGCTGTATTATTATGAAATTATTATTAATGATTCGCAGTTTTAGTTGCAAAACTAGTTCCTGTGTGTTTCGAAAAGCAATATTAGAAAGTACTTAGCTAAACTCAGAAGTTGATAGAAGGAATATATATATATGTGTGTGTGTGTTTTTGCAATTTAGTCCTTGCTCAGCTTTTACAGAGATTATATGAAGGGTTTGAGGGGCTTGTTTTTTTTTTTTGCTGTTAAAATCAAATCAGAATGTGAGAAGTGGCTCTCAGAAGAGATTTTGAGCCACTTTATAACTTTAAATGTGTTACCATTTGATACAGCATATTGTAGTTTATACCTTGTGTGCTGTATATACTTGAGGTTTACATATATGTGACCATTCAGTGAACTAATTACTGTGAGCTTTGTTATAGTTAAAAATTGGCTCCTCCCATTTTAGCCTTTATTGGTCTCACAACCTACTTTTTTCTTTTTCAGTAGAAATGATGGAAGAATTGCACAGCCTGGACCCACGACGGCAGGAATTATTAGAGGCTAGGTTTACTGGAGTTGGTGTTAGTAAGGTGAGTGAAATGATGACGAACACTGTACGTAGTCTAATTTAAAAATACTTAAAAGCCAATTAAGGGCAATTATTGATAGATTGTAGGGGAGAAGATTCAGTTCATAGTTCTAAAGAACTTTTAAATTCAGCCGTTCAGCATTGCATTTGAATGTGTTCTGTATGGGAATGTGTGCTGCTTTTTCAACCCTATGATATGGGAGAGTTTTCCCATGGGTCTTATTGCAAGGATACTAACCGGATGTGTATTCTATGCCATATTTTGTCAAAACTCCTTAGTCACTCAGAAGACAGCTGTTAATTAAAAGGTATTGGCATAGCTTCCTTACACTGGACTTTTTGGTTAGTTCTAAGGTATGGTAGAATTTTGAAAAATCTCTCTCTGCTAAGTCTGTCAGTTCTCCAAATCTGCAGTTTAGCAGATTCCTCCTGTTTGAACCTCCGGACTGCTTGCTCTCTTCTGTTTTTCCTTCCTCTTCACTCTTTTTATTTTGTTCTGGGAGCATAAAATATGATCAAGCCCCCATTAATGGGCAGGTGTTAAGTTAAACAATGGTATGGCTTTCTGTGCGACCTTATGTACCTGCTACTTCACCCCTCTGCTCTTATAGGATGGTTTTATTACAGTATGTAAACTATATTTGTGATGCTTTATTTAAAAGCTTCACTAGTCCAAGATTGTTGCATTACTTGGGCTTGGGACTTTTGAATTTTTGATCTTTGACTTCATGTGATACATTTCTTTCAGTGCTTTTCAAGAAGTCTTATTTCTCATGGTGACCTAGATATTAGTCTCATGGTTTGGTCAGCAGCTTTTTAAAGAAGTTATTTGTTACCCTACCTGGTGTGGCTCAGTTGGTTGTGTGTTGCCCTGTGCACCTAAAGATTGCTGGTTCGATTACCATCAGGACATATGCGAAGGGGTTGCTGGTTCAATCCCCAGTAGGGGGTGTGCAGGAAACAGCTAATCCATGTTTCACTCTCACATGGATGTTTCACTCTCTCCCTCTCCCTTCCTCCCGCTCTAAAAATCAATTTAAAAAATAAGTTATTTGTCAAGGTTTAGTTGAAAAAATCTGCTGCTTTGATGGGTCTCATCATTTTGGTGAGCTGGAATAGCTTGATAGTTTTTGTTCTTTCAACATTTGAGTGCCCGCTGCATACTAGGCATGGTGCAGGGATGACACCTCAGCACAGTGCCTCCAAGCCTCCATTGTGGAGAGAGATCATATTGGGGTGAGAGCTGTGACCTGGTGCTATGGGAACATACATATTGTAGTTCTTAGGGTTTTTTGGCCACTTTAGGAGGCCAATACCTTATTTGTTAGGTGACTGGGACTTATTTTGACCACTTTAGTAACTGATTTTTGTGGCACTTTGTAGGGCTATACTGACTATTGTTATACATTGAAGTTAACATGTGTAAGTGTAAACACTGATCTAGGTGAAGTAGTTTTAGTTGGAAGGGAACACTAGATGTAAGTGTTAAATTGATCTCTGATTCAGTTGATTACCTAATAATGACCTTTGATGTGTCTTTTAAGTTCGGAATTCAGGAGAAGGCTCATATCCAAATCTGTCTGTTCAAATGGTCACCTACTGTGTAAAAGTAAGTTTGTATTCAAATTGTACGTCGTTTAAATTCATTGGACTTTGTTGTTAGAATGCTTTTCTTTCCTTCCGTTTTTTAGTTCATGAGAGCTATATCCAAGTATACTTTTGATGGGGTAAAGCATAAGTAATGGGAATGAGTGACACTGAATTTTGCTCCCCAGGCCCAACTTAACATCATATAACTAAGGTATCAGAAAACTTAACCTGATGATCTGTTTAATAGGAAGTTCTGCCTGTAATATATAGAGAAAGAATTTCATTTATATCCAAATGTTTTTATGGCATTAATTGTATATTATTTTGATGTTTCCAGTCATGGTAAGCATATTGATTAGAATACATATGTTATTCAAAGACTGGAAGTAGAATGGGTTTTTTTCTCCATAGCAACAACACTTGAAGGAAAAAACAAACAAACAAGTAAATTATTTTGTAGTTTGCAACGTTGGGAAGAGGAAAAGAAATTCTCCATTTTTTGCAACTTATTTTGCCTACAAGACATATCTCTCAGACTTAATTTAAAATAGGAGTAGGGAAGAGGCCATGGTACTGGGAGAAAAGGTGCTTTTGGAAAAAACTTTTCCTCTTAGCTTTGATTTCTCATTATGGGTCATGATTTTCCAGTAAAGATGTCACTGTGTTGATGACAGCTTTCAGTTTTGCAAAGATCAAGACTGCTTTCAGCCTTTGCTCCAAATGGGAGAACACAGTGACTTTTCTGTGATAGTGCCATCTAGTGGAACTGGTGCAGCCTCATGGGCTGTCTTGAGTTTCTCCTAACTGTTCATAACATTTTCAGTACTTTTTGATGTCCATAGAAGGAAGAAATTCAGTGCCACTGTGGATTCTTCCCTAGTGGACAGGAGGGTTTTAAGTAGCTGAAGTCTTTGAACTTCCTAGTTACTATAGATCTCCTATCATGTTGCTTCATGTTTTTTATACCTGCAAATTGGATATACATCACAAAACCTACACTAAAACAAAATGGCCAAGCCACCACATTTATTACCTATATTTAAGTTGCTCTTTACTTATGTTTTGGTTTTTTTTTTTGCAAATTTAAAATTTTCTTGCATATTGCAGTCACTGCATTTTTTTCTCTTTCTGTTAGCATATGTAACTTAGAATAACTAAACCAAAAGCATTAGTTTTGCACTTTGGGATACACTATATGGTTTTTGTTTAAGAGATTGATATTTTCTGTCATTAGTGAGTTACAGGGGTGGGGAGCCATTTTTCTGCCAAGGACCATTTGGATATTTATAACATCATTCGAGGGCCATACAAAATTATCATCTTAAAAATTAGCCTGCTCTATTTGGTCAGGCTAATTTGGTGAGGTGTGTGATGTCAGCTGGTATTGATTTCTCTGGCCTTATACAGCCCGAAGAAGGCCGGATGTTCCCCACCCCTGGATGATAAAGGAAAGTAGCTTAATGTGCATCAAGAAGCTATAGTTGACTTTTCTCCTCTAGTCTAGTTGCCACTTTTTAGGAGGACCTGTAACCATCCTTCAGCATTTTTGAGGTGATGAGATTGGGTTATGAACCTAACTTTTTATTTCTTGTTGATCCGATATGTGATGAGCTATCCTACTTTTTAATATTTTTTTAAAAAGTTGGTTTTAGAGAAAGAGGAAGGGAGAGGGAGAGAGAGATAGAAACATTCATTGGCTGCCTCCTGCACACTCCCTGCTGGGGCCAGGGATTGAGTTTGTAATCCAGGTACATGCCCTTGACTGGGAATCAAGCCTGAGACCCTTTGGTGCGCAGGCCGACACTCACCACTGAGCCAAACCAGCCAGGGCCATTTTCCCCTTTATTAGTTTGAAAGATATATACTCTTTTATTTGTTGCCATGAAAATTATGTGTATCTTTAATTTATCAAACATTATGATACCTTTGCTCTTCTTTTTTTTTTTTAAACCTTTGCCCTCTTTGCTTGTCAACAAGAACCTTGAAGATTTAACTCCATTATTCCTTTCCCAAATCACATGCTGTTGTTCTATATTTAATTGTGTATATGTATATATTTTAATTAATAGACTTTATTTTTATTTTTATTTTTATTTTTTTTTATCCTCACCCGAGGACATTTTTCCATTTTTTGTACAGATAGAGTGGGAGGGAGAGAGAGGAAGAGAGAGAGAGAGAGACACATCGACGTGAAAGGAACACATCGAGTGGCTGCCACCCGCACGACCAACCAGAGCCGGGGACAAACTGCAACCGAAGTACGTGCCCTTAGCGGAAACCGAACCTGGGTCTCTCCGGACCGCAGGCCGACGCTCTACCGCTGAGCCAAATCGGCCAGGGCTATTTTTATTTTTAATTAAAAAAATTTAAGTTGATTCCAGAGAGAGAGGAAGAGGGAGAGAGAAACATCAGTCAGCCGCCTCTTGCACTTGCCCACCTCTTCCACTTGCCCAGATGGTCTGGGCAGTGAACCCACGACCTGGGTGTGTGCCCTGACCAGAATCGAACGAGCCACCTCCTGGTGCATGGGATGATGCACCAACTAACTGAGCCACTCTCTGGCCAGGACAATAGAATTTAATTTTTAAGTAGTTTTAGATTTACAGAAAATTGAGCAGATTGAACAGATAGTACAGAGAGTTTCTATGTACCCCCTCCTTATCCTGCCAGTTTCTCCTATTTACATCTTGTATTAATGTGGAGATTTGCTACAATTGATATCCAACATTGATACATAATTATTAAAGTCCATAGTTTAACATTAGGGTTTACACTTTGTGTTGTGTAATTCTATGAGTTATGATAAATGCAAAAAATGTCACATATCCATTCCTTTTTTTCATCTCTGACCTATCTGGACTACTTTGTTTTTAATTTCTCTTTTTATTTATTTAGTTTTTAAATAAGTTTTTATTGATTCATTTTATTATTTTAATCCTCACCCGAGGAGATATATATATATATATATATATATATATATATATATATATTTATATATTTTTTTTAGATAGAATGGGAGGAACGAAGGGGGAAAGAGAGAGAAACATCAATGTGAAAGACACGTCATTTGGTTGCCTCCCACATGGCAGGGTTATACCTGCAACTGAGGTATCTGCCCTTGACTGGGAATTGAACCCATGACTATTCCATCCATGGGCCAACACTCTAACCACTGAGCAGAACCAGCCCATGCTTTATTGATTTTTAGAGAGAGAGGAAGGAAGGGAGAAGGAGCGAGAGATAGAAACATCGATGAGAGAGAAACATTGACCCAGAATCAAACCTACTATCTCTAGGTCCATGGGTCGATATTCAACCACTGAGCCACACCTGCTGGGCAGGAATACTTTTTCTTTTGCCTGAAATACATCCTCTGGAATTCCTTTAGTGTGGGTCTGTCAGTGATTTTCT